GACATACACACAGACAGAATATTGTACACATAATAAATAAATAAATATTTTTTAAAAAAACAACGCGGGGCACAGAAGCTTATCAGCTGGCTGAGACCACAGCCAGAGATGGTATTTATTAGGCTGTGGCAAAAGGCCGGTTTTTGAACCCACTTTTTATAGTAGGGGCACCAAGCATTAGGTCTGAACAAAGTAATTTTTATGATGTTGCCCTGAGCTCGTGGATCAATTAACATAGACCCTAAGGAGGGGAGCGAGTTCTAACGTCAGTGGATAACTAGGCAGTTATCGTGAAATATGTTTCAGGTGAGATTACAACGAAAGTCACTAATTGCGAGAAAACAGATATCTTTAGCAATTAGTCAGAAAAGGGACTGCTAGTAACACTAGAAGGTTAATAAATTAGAATTAACTGGTTCTTAGGCTGAGAACTTAGGAGATAGTAGAAAGCTTTTCACATTATCTCAAGGTAAAACTCAGATACTGACTGCCATACTTTACAACCTCCATTATCAGAGCTCATTAATTAAACCCTTGTATTTGTCCACTGTCTCCTGGTACCTCCGGGTGTAAACTGGAGTCTTATGCCTCTCCTCTGGTGGCGCCAGTTTTCCATAACAGAGACAATGTCTAACCCAGAGGTCACATATCCCTGTCTCCTAAAGGTTAACTCAGTTCACATCTGTCGTTCATCAAGGACGGCCAGGACACTACTCCCAGAGCAGGGAGAAGCTCTGGCCTTGTAAATAAAACAGCCAGTTGTAAAATGAAATGATCTAAGCTGATGGAGGTTTCCCAGGCATCTGAAAAAATAGCTCACTGTGAATGACTGATCCTTGATCTGCTGGGAAAGCTGCTGATAGTCTGTTCTCATTTTTCTAGACTTATAACTTTATATATCTTTATTTTTACATTTTTATTTTTGGAATCTACATTTATATTTTCTTATTCTTGGACTCTTCAAAGTGAGCAAAAGTAAATACAAACAGGAAAAAAGCAAAAGTTTCCTTCTTCCATGTCCTTTTATGTGGGCTGCTACCAGCTGTTCTCTGACCTCCATACATATACTGTGGCATATGCACCCCATCTCCAAATCACGTATATATGCTAATAACAACAATAATAGTAGGGTTAGAGAGATGGCCCAGTGGTTAAAGAGCACTGGTTGCTTTTCTAGAAAACTCAGGTTCAATTCCCAGCACCCATATGGCAGCTCATAACTGTCTAGTGATGGGAGAAGCTCTGTTAACCAATCACCTTTAAGAAGTGGAGCCTAGGGCTGGTGAGATGGCTCAGAGGATAAGGGCACTGGCTGCTCTTCCAGAGGTCCTGAGTTCAATTCCCAGCAACCACATGGTGGCTCACAACCATCTGTAATGAGATCTGGTGCCCCCTTCTGGCCCAAAGGGTTACATGCAGGCTGAATATTGTATATATTGTAATACTGTATAGATATGTATTGTAATATTGTTTAGATAAATTTAAAAAAAGAAGAAGTGGAGCCTAGTTAAGGCGTGGCTACCTGGAGCCCAGGAAGAAAACTGGGACAGACCAGGTGCATGTTCTCTCTGGGTAATTCCCACCGGACACAGTGGAACTCGAACTTCCCATTCTTGTGGTGTGAGTTTCCCCTTATAACAATTAAAAATACAATTGTTTATCTTTAAGCTGGCCTGGTTATTTCCCAAATCAAGCGAGCAGGTACAAGTCTGTAACTCCAGTTCCAGGGGATCCGACACTTTCACATCAATGCACATAAAATAAAATAAATAAAGTTAAATAAATTTTAAAAATTAATAACAATTATTTTATTTTATTTTATTTTCGAGATAGGGTTTCTCTGTAGCTTTGGAGCCTGTCCTGGAACTCATTCTAAAGAGCAGGTTGGCCTTGAACTCACAGAGATCCTCTTGTCTCTACCTCCCCAGTGCTGGGATTAATGATGTGTGCCACCACCACCCAGCAATAATAACAAATTTTAAACAATGAAAAGGAAGGAAATCAATGTGTGCATTTGTAAACAAAAGGACTCTGTAGGTACTGGGGTTCAAATTCAGGTTGTCAGGCTTAGTGTCAAGTATCTTCTTACCAGCCCTATCTATCATTATTTTTTTCCATTATTTTTGAGAATTTCATACATACATACAATGAAATTTGATCATATTTAACCCTATTTCCTTTTTCCAAATGCCTTCTCATGTACATTGTCTCCCAACTTCATGTCTTCCTTTTGTTTTTTGATGACACACTAAGTCCAGTTAGTGTTTCCCATATGTGCATGGATGTACGGTTGTCTCCTGGAATGTGGAACACTTTTCAGTGGCTACATCCTCCATAAAGTATGCTTTGCATAGCTGAAGAGATGACACAAGTATTTTAGAGCACTTGTTTTTTCAGGGAACCCAGGTTCCATTTCTGACACCACATTGCAGCTTACAACCATCAGTAACTCCAGTTGCTGAGAATCCAGCACCATCTTCTGGCCTCTCTGGATATAAATATATGTACAAACAGAACACTAATACACTCATTCATTTGAAATAAATAATTAAAACATATTCTTGCTTCCTCTATCAACTGTCTACTGTAGTATGGGGTAGTGACTGGGAACCAACTATCCCACCTATGCAGACCTGGGCTGCTCTCTCTCAGCCTTAGCCAGAGAAACTTCTTTGTGCAGTAGATAGCAGTCAATGCAGGGATACATAGCTGACAGAGAGCTGGGAATGAGAGACTGAGAACTCAGCCGGGCGGTGGTGGTGCATGCCATTGATCCCAGGACTCGGAGAAGCAGAGGCAGGCAGATCTCTCTGCTTCAAAGACAAGCCTGGTCTACAGAGCTAGTTCCAGGACAGGCTCCAAAGCTACACAGAAAAACCCTGTCTCAAAAAACAAAACAAAACAAAACAAAAAAAAGAGAGAGATGGGGAATTCATCCCTAAACAGATTTGTATTTATGTGTGTAATAGTCTGTCCTATCTCTTTAAGAGACAAGTCACATCCATTCCCTCCCCAATCTGCTGAGACAGGCAGATTTTCCTTCCTGCTTGCAGCCTGAGTCTCTTCCTTTTCCATCTCCCTCTAGAAGAAGCAGCTTCTGTCTCTCTCTCTCTCTCTTCTCTCTCTCTCTGTTCTTCTCCTTCTCCCCCTTCCCTTCCATACTTCCGTAACCCACTAAACAAATATCCAACCTCACTCTGCATGGCGTGTCTATCCTTCTGTCTCTTGCCGGCCACCACCATGTCGCTTGCTGCCCGGAACCAGCCACCTTTGGAGACCTGCAGTGTGATCTTGTGTGTTGTCTCTGCCTGGGACTGTCTGCTTTCAGGACCCGCTGCCCTGTATCTGCCACCACATGGCCCACTGCCTGCCACTGCTTGGAGACCTGCAGTGTTTCTGCCACTGCAGCTACTCAGGGATCTGCAGCATTTTAATTGATCCATTACATTTGGTGCTGTGAGACTCGGGAGGCTCTCCTGCCCTAAGCTCCTCTCCAGAACCAGGTATTTTTTCCACAACAACCATGTGTTCCATATGTCTTAGCGTAATTTCTCCACACACCACTGGCTTCGATTAGTGAATTTCCCCCATTCTGCTATGGTTGAGCCCTTTGCTGACATTCATCTGTGGATTACTTCCCTTAGCTAAAACTGTGACCAGAGTGACCTGGGGTCAGTCCTCCCACGCTAGCACTGCACACTCTGTGCAGCGCATTTGATTGGGAGCCTAGGGTTCGTCATTTTTCTTTCTCTTTCTGTTTCTCTTTTCTTTTCTCTCCTCTCCTCTCCTCTCCTCTCCTCTCCTCTTCTTTTCTTTTCTCCCCCCCTCCCCCCACTGTGTTGCTTGTTTTTGTTTTTGTAAAGGCTGCATGGAGGCCTTTCGGTGGGTTTTCACAGTTTCAGCTATGGGTAGCAAGCTATCCATGTCCATCAATTCAGCCTCCCCCAGGGAGGCCCTAAAACCCCAGGCCTTAATGCCCTACTTCTTCAGCTCCTCCCCTCACTTGGCTGGTATCCCGGTGACTCCACCTTTACAGGAACTTTCTAACTACTGTCAGTGCACAGGCAAATGGAAGGAGTTTCCTCAAACTGTACCTGCCACCGCTACTGCTGCCAACAAGATCGGTCGGATCCATGAGGCGGCTTTTTTCAATTCCAGCCTTTTGCTCCCTGCTGCCGCTTGTGGCATGGTGGCTCAGTCACAGGGCAGATCACGCCTCTAGGTCTGTCTTATTATCTTAAAATCCTTAAAATCCCTGCAGCTCAAAAACTGTGGATTTTCCATACAACATGTGACCTCTGCCATTTTGACTGTGGTCAGGTGACTTCACTGTCATCTTAACTGAGAGCCAGGTCAGGTAACCAAATCCTGCCATCTTTATACTCTGCCTGGTCCCCCAGTTCACTTATGTGTTTGTCTCTAAACTCCTCTTGCTGACTCTGTTGCATGTGTGTTTTGCACAGTGACATGCCTTTGGTAGGGCCCACCAAAAGTATCCACTTCACCCAATTCCTGTTTACTCTCTGTGTGTGTTTAGACATGTAAGTTAAATGGACCTATGCTTAATGTTATAATTGTCTGTTCATTGCATCTCATTTCAGACTACAAAGACAATGTCTCATGTTTTAAACTGGTATGTACTTTTAAGTCTCTTACAAAATTACTTTATATTTAATCCAACCCTCATTTAAAATATATTAAGATGTTCTCTACTATTGTCAGTTCTGCCATTAACCTTGTATTGCAAGCAGTTTTTTTCTTCTTTCTGTCTTTTCACAAGAGTGTAAATCTTACCTGCTAAGTTAAGAGCCAGTACAGTCAAGCTTGCACCCAGCTCTCCAGGAAGATTCTATACTGTAATTACACCTAATAAATAGCCCTCTACTGCTCAGAGATCTAGGGAATATAGCATTTAAATATTTGATTATTAAAAAACTTTTAATAACAAAAAGAGATAGGTTGGCTCCTAGCAGCAGCACCCTACTTCCTCCAAAGAAGACAGAAGACAAATGGACACGAAACAACGCCCATCTGCAGTTTGCTTCAACTGCCAAGCGCTGACCACCGAGCAATACTGCCTTTCATCTAAACTGAAGATCTCCTGACGTGGACGGAATCACTGGACTCAACAGCCTAGCTGCTGAGGTCAAGGTAGGCTTGTCTTCCTACAGATTTTTTAGTTCACAAGGTTCTTCTGGAGTCTGGCAGGCCCTACGTTAAACAGCAAAAGGCAAATGCGACCTTCAGTGACCAGGTGACTGGGAGAGCATGGCGAGGGGAAGACAGAGGGAGCACACAGGCAAACCCAAAACCACTGTTCCTTTTTCTGGCGCAAGCTTAAATACCCTGTGGGGTCAGCGCTTGGCAGGCTGGGAGTGACAGTACCCACTCAATATTACATTCCAGCCTCTTTGGGTATAGGGGTATCAGAGGGCTGGGGTCTCACTTTTGACCAAATAGACAGTGCAACATCGGAGTCTGTCCTTGGGCTTCCATTTATAGGAACACACACAGGCACTGTGAAGCATTCTGCACTTTATTTTCTAGTGGTGCTAGGGTTTGTTGAACTTAGGGCTTTGTCCATGACAGACAAGCACTCTATCACTGGGCCAGCCTTGGTCCTCCTATAAGGCTATTCTGGATGATATTATAATGGCAGATAAATTGCACATAAGCTTATCTAACTCCAGAGTGTACACGGTTGATAGTGAGTGAGTCCAGATGAGGACTGGGGATTGTGAGAACCATGTGTAGGGGGATCCTTGTGGATGGCAGCAAATGCACTTCCCTGGTGGGAGATGCTGATAATGGGGAGACCATGCATATGAGAAAAACATCTAGATAGATCTGTGGGAACTCTGTGTACCTTCTCTTCAATATTGCTGAGAAGCCAATGCTATTCTAAAAAGTCATGTAAAGGCTGGAGGGATGGCTCAGCAGTTGCACTGATTACTCTTCCAAAGGATCTGTGTTCAATTCCCAGCACCCACATGGTAGCTCACAGCTAACTCCAGTTTCAGGGGTCCTGACAACTATAATGGGACTTTCCTTTGGGCCACCAGCTCACAAATAACAACACAGAGACTTATTATTAAATTTGAAAGTTCAACTGTAGCTTAGGCTTGTTTTTAACTATTTTTTTCAAGACAAGGTTTCTCTGTAGCTTTGGAACCCGTTCTAGAACTTGCTCTATAGATTTGGTTGGCCCCAAACTCACAGAGATCCACCTGCTTCTGCCTTCTGAGTGCTGGGATTAAAGGCGTGTGCCACCATCACCTGGCTTAACTAGTTCTTACAACTTAAATTAACCCATTTCTATCAATCTACATTCTGTCATGTACTGCCCATCCTGCTTCTTCCATGTATTCTGGTGTCTCTTGCATCTCCTGATTATCTTCTCTTTCCTCTCTCTGTCTGGAAGCCCCACCTATACCTCCTGCCTAGCTATTGACTGTTCAGCTCTTTATTAGACCAATCACAGCAATATAACTTCACACAGTGTACAAATAACTCACATCAGACACCCTTTTCTGGCCTCCACAATCACTGTACCTGGTGTACAGACATGCAATTAGGTAAAACTCCTACACACATAACATTTGTTTGGGTTTTTTCAAGACGGTTTTTTTGTAATGACCCTGGCAGTCCTGGAACTTGTTCTGAAGACCAGGCTGACCTTAAACTCACAGAGATCCACCTGCCTCTGTCTCCCAAATGCTGGGATTAAAGGTATGTGCTGCCACTGCCTGACCACATAATGTTTTTGTAAAAATAAACAAACAAACAACAACAAAAAAAACCAGTAATGATGGAAAAAAGCGATTGTCCAAAGGCTGCAAATGCCTTTGATCTTGCTTTGTGTACCCTCTGCAATATGCTTCCCTTCCAATTCCTACTGTATAGACCTGATATTTTTTTGGTTTTCCTCCCCAGGCTGGGCTGATTTCCTGTAGTCAGTAAAAGGGAACCCCATCAGCAGGAAGCTTGATCCTTCAGCTTGGATTCTCTTAAAAAAGTCTGGTTTCTATATAAGGAAGTTCAGAGTGTGTCTGTCACTGGAGAGAACACCTGGGTCCTTACTGATAACCTGATACCCAGTGAGGCTATCCTGCCATCTCCACTGGGATCCCAGTCAAAACAGGGCTGTAACTCAGTTGGTAGAGTGACTGGCTTAGCATAAACAAAGCCCTGTCCCTGGATTCAATCCCCAGCACCCCAGAAACCAGATGCGGTGGCCTACACTTGTAATACCAATTTGTGAAGGCAGGAGGATCAGAAATTCAAGGTCAGGAGCTACAGAGAGCTCAAGCTAGTATACTGTTTGTCTCAAAAGCACGAGAACTTAAGTTTAATCACTCATAGGAAAAGCTAGGCATCATGGTGCATGTTTATAATCTCAGTTTTGGGGAGGTAAACATAGGAGGAGCCCTGGGGCTCACTGGCCAGCCAGGTTACCTAATTGATGAGCTCTAGGTTCAGTGAGAAACACTGTCTCAAAGAGTGAAGTAGAGAGTGGGAGAGATTGCACAACAGTTAAGAGCACTGGCTGCTTTTGCAAAAGATCTAGGCTCAGCTGGGTGGTGGCAGCACACACCTTTCTTTAATCCCAGCACTTGGGAGGCAGAGGCAGCCTCTGAGTTCAAGGCCAGCCTGCTCTACAGAGTGATTTCCAGGACAACCAAGGCTACACAGAGAAATCCTGTCTCAAAAACCAAAACACTAACAACAACAACAACGGACCTAGGCTCAATTCATAACACCAACATGGCTGTTCACAACTGAACTCCAGTTTTTGTGAATCCACTGCCCTCTTCTGGTCTTCTCAGGCACTGCATGCATGTGGTGTACAGACACACATGTAGGCAAAACATCCACACATGTAAAATAAATCAATTAAAAAACAAAGAAACAGCCTCGTGGCAACATATGCCTTTGAACCCAGTACTAGGGAGGCAGTGGCATGGGGATCTCTGAGTATGAGGCCAGCATGGTCTAGACTGAGTTCCAGAACAGCCAGGACTACATAGAGAAACCCTATGTCAAAAAAATAATCAGAAAACAACCCCCCAAATGCCACAAATAACCCCACAAAAACAAATGAACAAAAAAGTAAAAGTAGAGAGTGAATGAATAAGACCCCCAATCATCCTCTGCTTTCTACTTGTCCCCTACACATATTGATACATACATAAACACAAACTCATACACATACTCAGGTGCATATACATGTATAAGCACACACACAAACATTAAAAACAACTTAAAAGCCAGACAGTGGTGACACTAACCTTTAATCCCAGGACACAGAAGGCAGAGGCAGGTGGATCTCTGAGTTCAAAACCACCCTAGTCTACAGAGTGAGTTCCAGGACAGCTAGGACTGTTATACAGAGAAACCCTGTCTCAAAAAACCAAAAACGAAAGAAGTTCAAGGCTGGGTGTGGTGGCACACACCTTTAATCCCAACACTCAAGAGGCAGAGGTAGGCAGATCTCTGAGTTTGAGGCCAGTCTGGTCTAGAAAGTAAGTTCCAGGACAGCCAGGGTTGTTGTGGGAGCTCCTTCTGTTCCTTCAGCCAATAGCCTTTAAGATACCAGTCCACTTGGGCATGGTCTCTTATACTATAAATGCATGTACTTGCTCTCTTGCTTCTGGCTCTCTCTTCTGGCTGCTAAACTTTGTTCCTGTTCCCCATTTGTGCAGAGAATTGTGATTTAGGACAGTGATCTGTAAGTCTTCATTAAATAAATAACCCTTTATTGTACGTAATTCTGAACTAGTGTGGAATTATTTATGACTTCCACCATCACAGGATTACACAGTGAAACCCTGTCTCAAAATAAAAAGAGGAAGAGGAGAAGGAGATAAAGAAGAAGTTTTTTCTTCTTTATCAAAGAAGAACTTTGATAATTTTCAAAGTTATCCTCAGCTACATGAAGCCAGCATGGGAAACATGAGACCCTGTCTCAATAAACAAAACATAATAAGAACAAAACAAAATAATATAATAAAAATCTCCAGAAACTGGAGTGTGGGTCATTGGGAGAACACTTGCCTAGCATGCCCCAGATGCTCAGTTCCACCCACTGTGTGGTGGATTGAATGAGAATGCTGTCCAATACTTGGTTGTAACATGAAGACTGGTTTGTTGGAGTTTATGTCCCACCTGGTACCCCACAGCTGGCATGCCCCAACGAAAAATCACACAGAGGACTCCATAAGATTATAAACTGATTGGCCCATTAGCTCAGGCTACTTATTAGCTCTTATAACTTACGTTAGCCCATTATTTTTATCTATGTTAGCCACATGGCTCAGTACCTTTCTCAGCAGGACAGTTTACATCTTGCTTTTGGTGGTCTGGGCAGGAATGATGGAGGGAGCTTCCTGCTTCCCAGAATACTCCCATTCTCTTTGCTCCATCTCTACTTCCTGTCTGGTTTTCCCTCCTATACTTTCTTCCTGGCTAATCAGCATTTATTTAAAATATGATTGACAGAATACAGACAATTCTCCTATTTGAGAAGAGTTAGCATGTATGACCTTGTTTGAGGAGGTGTGTCACTGGGGGTGGGCTTTGAGGTTTCAAACGGTCATGCCATTCCAAGCTCCCTACCCTGTACTTGTGGATCAGACACTGATGTGGGAAGTCCTTCTGTATATGTGTTGCTTCTATTGGCTAATGAATAAAGCTGCTTGGCCTATGGCAGGGCAGAATATAGCCAGGCTGGAAGATATATATATATATATATATATGACAGTCAGAGAGATGCCATGTAGCTGCCAAAGGAGACAGACACTGGCTGGAGCTATACTGGTAGGCTAAAGCCTTGTGGTGATACATAGGTGAATAGAAATTGGTTAATTTAAGACAAAGAGCTAACTAGAAATATGCTTAAGCATTGGCAAAACATATTGTAATTAATATAGTTTCTGTGTGATTATTCAGGTCTGAGTGGCCTGGAAACAAAAGAGCAGTCTCTGTTTACAAAATGGCATCCAAACATATGTATATCCACATAAAACCTCAAAAATCTTAAAGGGCTTCCAGATCCACAAAAATGAGAGTCAATTGGAGGTTCTTGGTAACTACATTTTTTTTCACATAGGCTCTGTTTTCTGGCAATGAGCAGAGGCAGGGTTTCTTTAAGAAACAGCTTCCAGGCCTAGAGGGATGGCTCAGCCATTAAAGGCTAGGCTCACAACCAAAAATATAAGAAACAGCTTCCTGGTTCATACTGGCAGCATGAATGAATGGCTCTGGCTCTTTTGGAAGTTTATGTTATGGAGCATTTGAATGGGGTTTGTGAGCAGAGTGCTACCCATTGATTAATGTGACATACATAGATCTGCTGTGTCCCTGAAGCTGGGGCAATGAGCATGAATCACAGAATTGGCAGTAAAAATACCTCTGCCATATTGAAAGATCAAGAGAGGTGGAGTCAGCATTCAGGGCTGCTGTGACCAAGTTGCTTACCATTTTAAAAGTGCTTCTGACCAGAAAATGATTACAGATACACAATAAAGATGGATTCAGACAGAAGTAAATTTTTGAACAGGTCAGAGTGTGTTTAAAAAAATGTATGTAGGCTTGGGAAAGAGAGGAAAAAGAGTGTAGATGGTTATAAAAAGAAAAAAAAAACAAAGACGGGCAGTGGTGATACACACCTTTAATCAGAGCACTTGGAAAGCAGAGGCAGGCAGATCTCTAAGAGTTTGAGACCAGCCTGGTCTGCAAGGCCACAGAGAAACCCTGTCTCAAAAAACAAAAACAAAAACAAACAAACAAACAAACAAAAAACAAAAAAAGAAAAGAAAGAAAGGAAAAAAACAAAGTCTTTAAAGAGACAGTAAAAGTAATATAAAAGAGTACAAAGAGTACAGTCAGTCATATAAAGGAGTAAAGAAAAATAAGTAATGTAAAGATGAAAAATACAAAGAGTCTGGATTACGCATATTATTATGTTTTCTTTGAATTTTTTGACTACAGAGACATTTGATTCTGGGGGCTGCCAAGCTAAACCAACATATGTGTTTTAAAGATATCTTGACTTCAAAATTTGAGTCTGAGGATATGTTACTTTGGAAAAGAGGTTCTGCTTTTGTTTCCACAGAGGATGGGAATGTGTGGATTCTTTCCAGACTAATGTGGTTTGATGGACCAAGACCTGCTCTAACGAGGAGCGGTGGGATGTGTCCCACCCGGCTCCCATCTGCCCGGCTAGTTTAACCCCAAAATAATTACACAGAAACTGTATTCATTTAAACACTGCCTGGCCCATTATTTCTAGCCTCTTATTGACTAACTCTCACATCTTGATTAACCCTTTTCTATTAAATCTGTGTATCACCATGTGATTGTGGCTTACCGGCAAGTGTCTAACCTACATCTGTCTCGGGTTGGAGAATCATGGCATCTGCCTGACTCTACTCTTCTTCCCAGCATCCTGTTCTGTCTGCTCCACCTACCTAATTTTCTGCCCTATCAAAAAGCCAAGGCAGTCTCTTTATTCAACCAATGAAAGCAACACATAGAAAGAAGACCCTCCTACACCAAAGACCCCCTCAAAAGTTCTCCATGGACCCTAAAAATACTTTGCCCAACAAATAGCAGGAAGTAGTTTTGAGAAAACAATGCCCAAATTCTCAAAAATGATTATTTATAAAAGTTTGTTTTCATTTAAAGTGGAATATGATATAGGAATGAATACTTTACATTGATATGGACTTTAGTTTATTGATACAAATTTAAGGCCAATTTTGTTATATGTATATTTCTGCTCCTGTTTAAGGTATTATGTTTATACAATTCATTTAAAAATGTAATGTATAATTAAGAAATACAGGTTAATAGAGAGTCATCTATAATAATCAAACTTTTAGTCATGTTAATTAGGTTTTCTACATATACAGAGATATATTTTAGTTAGATAATCTTCAACACTTCAAAGACCTACAGAATATGCACAACCTTGTGGTAATATATAGATTAATACAAATTGGTTAATTTAAGATGTAAGACCTAGCTAGAAATACACTTAAACTATTGGCAAAACAGTATTGTAATTCATAGAGTTTCTGTGTGATTATTTGAGTGTGAGCTGCCAGGAAATGAAAGAGCAGTCTCTGTTTTCAAGATGCCTTCAACGTGTGTCAACTTGTCAAAAAATTAACCAGCATTAGTGACCCGAGAGTAACCATGGAGAGCTTGACCTGCCTTATACATCTGAAAACATGACTTAAGGTCGTCCCACATCCTGACCAGGCAGTTTCCCAACAGGGAGGGAACCTCCAGCCTCCAGTTCCAGGTGTCCATGGCTGGGTTGAGGTATGTATGTGTTAAAAAGTCTCAGCTTGAATGGTGACACTTTGCCCTACCCTAGCTCATCTTATCATGGGCCTGTTCAGGTTGCTCACCGTGCAAATCCCAGAGCTGCCTGAAGGATAATGATAGTATTCTGCCTGAAGAACAAGAGCTTTTCTCCCTGAGACCTTAGAGAAAGAGTGTATGCTTGAATTACTAATTCTACCTCACCCCTCGGGGTGGGGAAAAAACCTCCTAGTGGCCAGATCAGATCATCCTGGGACAACTCTGCGTTCTTTCTACACAGGGACCCGGTCGATGTGGAGTCGAGGAAAGGCATCCTCTGACCCTTGCAGGTGCCTCTGGGCTTCCATCACTGCTGACTGGAAATGGTCCGCAGTGGAAGTGGGGATGCCCCATGTGCAGCTACGAACTGAAGGGCACTTCTCAAAGAGGCAGTACCCCTGCCCCTCCGTGAGAAGCCCATGGAGAACCCAAGTGTCAACATCCGGTGGATCCAATCTCTTTGCAGTGTGTGCAAAGGTTGGATTGAGTTTTCAGGCTTCAAAGCCACTATGAAGGCATCCTTTCCTTCCAGAAGCCTGGAGTGGAGGGAGAGGGGCATGGCGGGCTGGAAGAAGAAGGGGAGGAGGAGAGCAGAGTAGGCCTGGTAGCCTCGGAATGGACATCCTGGTCTGCCCTCTGTCACATAAGATGCTTCTCCACAGGGGCACGTGCTCTGGTTCTGAAGTCCGGGGGGAAGGAAACCTGAGCAAAAATACGGGTAAAACTCCTTTTCGGCTCTGTATATACAATAAAGAAGAAACTGCTGCAGGGTGAGAAAGGGGGGGAGGGAGGGAGGAGCCTCTGGCTTGGTGCTTCCTACATAAGAGTGAGCTGGGAGGCCTGCTGGCCAGGAGCTCCTCTGTTCCATCTTATCTCCCTGCCGTCGGAGAGAAGACATAGGAGAACACAGGTTGCAAGTCTGGAAAGCAGGGCAGAGTTGGGCCTGCAGCTACCACATGGCACTCCTGCAAGCCCCCAGCCCCCTACACCCTAGAGATGGTCACTTCCCTGGGTCCCTGGTCTCAGCTCCGGTTTCTACCCTCATGGAAGCAGAGACAGATCGGTATCCTAAAGCTCAGGGCTACTGATGTTGCCTTGCTCAGGATTTGAACCTGGGAGACGGGAAGAAAAAGACATTGTCCGGTAAGAGTCAGGTCTAATGTGTGAGGAGAGACATTTGGGACTGAGGCAGGAATATGTGGGAAAGAAAGAGACAGGCTCCACTGTAGCCTCCTTCCATTATCCTCAATAATTCAGATACCTCAACCCAGACCTGTGACTCCTTCTCTGGTTCAACCAGCTTCAAATTCCTGTGAGGCAGGTTCTGCTCCCCATGTATCCTTCAAGCCAAGCTGGCTTCCTCCTTTTCCTGTTGATTATTTTTAGAGTTAATGTCGCTTTGCAGGGAAAGTCAGCCTGAGGTAGAGATTTCCATCAGCTCCTAGCACGGCAGCAGCCCCCACCACAGAGGGACTTTGGTTACTAGAATTTGACCCATATCGTCATTTCATAGTCGCTCAAATCCAGCGCTTATATTGTTTTTCCAACTGGTGGTGTACTTTGTGCGTATCCAGACAAATTTGGGTCTTCATCATGAAACGGAGTAGGGGCCGTGTGCTTTAATCAAACGGTGTTTGATATTCTCTCTCTCTCTGTCTCTCTCTCTGTGTCTCTGTCTCTGTCTCTGTCTCTGTCTCTCTCTCTCTCTCTCTCTCTCTCTCTGTGTGTGTGTGTGTGTGTGTGTGTGTGTGTGTGTGTTTTCCAAGACAGGGTTTTCTCTCTGTAGCCCTGGCTGTCCTGGAACTTGCTCTGTAGACCAGGCTGGCCTCGAACTCACTGAGCTCTGCCTGCCTCTGCCTCTTGAGTGCTGGGATTAAAGGTGTGTACCGACATTTCTGGCTGTGTATTGTTTTTGAGATAGAGTCTCACTATGTAAACCAGGCCACCTTCAAACTTACTATGAAGCCAAGGTTGACCTTGAGTTTCAAAGTCTCCTGTCTCTGCCTCCCAACATTTGGATTCTAGGCATGCGACATCACTCCCACTCAGTCCTTTATCCTTTTTGTCTCTATAGTCTTGCCATTTCGAGAATGTCCTGTCCTTGGACTTGTTGTGAGCTTTTCTGGGTTGGCTGCGTTCACTTAGCAGCTCGTTTCACTTTTATGAAAACCATTTCCTGTTTATATTCTTCCAAGCTTTCTCTCATTTCATATACACAATGAATAACAGCTTCCAATTAAGGGGCAAGCTGACTTCAGTCTTACAAGTAAACTGGAATCAAATGCTTCTCCTTATAGACAAAAAGAAAATACAATCTACTGACTGAATAGTGGGAGAGATCCCTGGCATTGCTGGGCTTTGCAGTCTAACCTGTGCAAAGATTCAGTACCTTCATTTTCTCCTGCAGGGGTTCTGAAACTCCATGCAGGGTGCCAAGGCATGCTCAGCTGCTTCCACTTACTCCCACTCCGGCCCCACCTCCAATTGGCAGCATGGCCCATCTGCAGTCAGAGGTACCTTGTGGTACTGTGGGGCAGAGGCAAAACCATCCCTGGGTCCTGTTTCAGGGACTCCTGCCAACGTTCATGGCTTTCTGATTCCTCTCGAGGTCATCAGCAGTGCAATGGAAGAAAGAAAGCATCTTTAACAAATGGTGCTGGCATAACTGGATATCAACATGTAGAAGAATGAAAATAGACCCATATCTATCACCATGCACAAAATTCAAGTCCAAATGGATCAAAGACCTCAACATAAAGCCAGCCACACTGAACCTTATAGAAGAGAAAGTGGGAAGTACACGTGAACACATTGGCACAGGGAACCACTTCCTAAATATAACCCCAGCAGCACAGACACGGGGAGAAACAATTAATAAATGGGACCTCCTGAGACTGAGAAGCTTCTGTAAAGTAAAGGACACAGTCAACAAGACAAAACAACAGCCTATATAAAGGAAAAAGTTCTTCACCAACCCCACATCAGACAGAGGTCTGATCTCCAAAGTATACAAAGAACTCAAGAAATTGGTCATCAAAAGAACAAATAATCCAATAAAAAAATGGAATACAGACCTAAGCAGAGAACTCTCAACAGAGGAATCTAAAATGGCTGAAAGACACTTAAGGAAATGTTCAACATCCTTAGTCATCAGAGAAATGCAAATCAAAACAACTCTGAGATTCCATCTTACACCTGTAAGAATGGCCAAGATCAAAACCACTGATGACAACGTATGCTGGATAGGTTGTGGGGAAAAGGGAACACTCCTGCATTGCTGGTGGGAATGCAAGCTGGTGCAGCCCCTTTGGATATCAGTGTGGAGAAAATTAGGAAACAACCTTCCTCAAGACCCAGTAATACCACTTTTGGGTATATATGCAAAGGATGTTCAATTGTGCCACAAGGACATGTGCTCAATTATGTTCATAGCATCTTTGTGTGTCATAACCAGAACCTGGAAACAACCTAAATACCCCTCGACTGAAGAATGGATAAGGAAAATGTGGTACATTTACACCATGGAGTATTACACAGCAGAAAAAATGATGACATCTTGAATTTTGCAAGCAAATGGATGGAGCTAGAAAGCATTATTTTGAGTGAAGTAACCCAGACCCAGAGAGACAATTATCACATGTACTCACTCATGGGTGGTTTTTAAACACAAAGCAAAGAAAGCCAGCCTCCAAACCACAATCCCAGAGAACTTAGACAGCAATGAGGACACTAAGAGAGACTTACATAGATCTAATCTACATGGGAAGTAGAAAGTAGAAAAAGGCAAGATCTCCTGAGTAAACTAGGAGCATGGGGAACTTGGGGAAGGTTTGAAGGGAGATGGGAGAGGCAGGGAGGGAAGCTGAGAAAAATGTAGAGCTCAATAAATATCAATAAAAAGTGTTCACAACAGAAAAAAAAGAAATAAAAAATTTAAAACTAAGAATTTATTTTTGTGTATGATGTATGTGTGTTGGGGGGTGCGTGTGCCATGTCTCATGTGTGGTAGTCAGAGGACAACTTGGTGGAAATAGTACTTTTTTTTTTAAAGGTTATGTATACAGTGTTTCTCCTGCATGCATGCATGCCTGCATGCCAGCTAGAAGAGGGCACCAGATCTCATTACAGATGGTTGTGAGCCACCACGTGGTTGCTTGGAATTGAACTCAGGACCTCTGGAAGAACAGCCTCTCCTTTTACCTTTACTTGGATTCCAGATCAAACTCAGATCACCTGGTTTATCTGGCAAGAGCTTTAATAGGTTGAGCCATCTCTCCAGCCCCAGCCTCTCTCTATGTATGTATGTATGTGTGTATCCATTTTTAATGGATATGTGCATTGTAGTTCAGGCTAGCCTCCAACTTGGTGCATAGCTGAGGAGCTGAGGATGACCTCAAACTTTGCCCTTCTGTCTTTCTTTCTTTCTTTCTTTCTTTCTTCCTTTTGGTTTTGGTTTTTCGAGACAGGGTTTCACTGTAGTTTTGGAGCCTGTCCTGGAACTAGCTCTTGTAGCCCAGCTGGCTTCAAACTCACAGAGATCGCCTGCCTCTGCCTCCCTGAGTGCTGGGATTAAAGGCGTGCACCACCACCGCCCTGCGGACCCTCTGGTTTCTATCTTCCAAGTGCTATAATTGCGAGACAGCTGCCTTGACCGGCTCTTATGCTTTTGTTTTGTTTTAAGGTTTATATGTATTTCTTTGTCCTCATGTGTGCCTGCTCACCAATTCAGAGGAAGGAATTGGATCCCATTATAGACGGTTGTGAGCCACCATGCAGTTGTTGGAAATTGAACTCAGGACTTCTGGAAGAGAAGCCAGTGAGTTCTTAACCACTGAGCCATCTCTACAGAGAAACCCTGTCTTGAAAAACCAAAAAAAAAAAACAAAAAACAAAAAACAAAAAAAAAAAAGAAAGAAGCTTGAAGGACAGGTTGATTTGCTCATGAATGTGGGGTCATTTATGTCTGGCTGGCAAGAAGATCTCATAGTAATCAGAGCTGAGCCTTGCAGAGGAGAGCTGTTCCAGAAAGCCTGTTTGCAATTATTTATTAATTAGTAGTCCTGGGAATTGAACCCTGGACTTGACAAGTGCTCTGCCACTGAGTCACGTCTCCACTCCTCCTTTGTAACCTTTGAATGAAGCAGGTGGCAAGACCTGCCTCTTGGGAGGCAGAGGCAGGCGGATCTCTGTGAGTTCAACTAGCTCTTGGTCTACAAGAGCTAGTTCCAGGACAGGCTCCAAAGACACAGAGAAACCCTGTCTCAAAAACAAACAAACAACAAAAAAAGATTTTTAATCTCTCACAAAGCGGGGTGCATTTAGTTCTCCCAGTAATAAATTGTGAAAGCACATGTGTGACATTGTGCCCCAGAGCCAGTCAGTGTCCATCCAGAGTCCTCACTGGGTGCTGGCAGCACAGTACTCAGCAAGAAAGCTCGTGTTTGATTTGGCAGGAACCCTCTCCAAACGCAAATTTGTAAACACAAGTCGGGGGCTGTTGTGTGACTTGTCCTGGGGCACACAAGCAAACATCTGTTCAGTCACAGGGCTCCGATGAAGACCTGTGCCGGTGTCAAGTTAACGGATGAAAAAGTCTTTTTCTTGAAGTAGTTTAGACCAAGAAATAATCCAAATTTGAATTCTCTTTGCTTCCTGTGTCTTCGGTCTGTAGTTTGTGACCTGTGGCCTGTCCTCTGTTGTGTGTGTGTGGTATCTGTGTGTTCCTAACAAAGGGCATTGTTCTGTATGAATTGAGCAGCACAGAAAACACAGTGTGGGAAAGGAATGTTTTTACAGGGAAGAAATCACTTCACTGCCCACAACTAGCACTCAAAACCCACAGATGTTACCAACCTATGGCCATATGTTGCTTCTAATATTTATGGTGAATATTTATTTTGTTAAAAGTCACTTTCAATCCATTAGCTGCTTTCAGCAAGTCATTAAGCACAACACACACGTAAACTATTTTCTGGGCAGGGTCATGGAAATGTATAGTGCAAGTTAAAGCTACGCATTTAACTTAGGCTGTGAAAGCTGATTAGTGGGAAGTGGGAAGCATGGAATGGTTGGTTATATTTTTCTTTCTTTCTTTTCAAAGACTTCTTGTTTGTTTGTCTTTGTTTTCCTACACAGGGTTTCTCTAAGTCCCGCTGGGTGTTGTGGAACTCCTTCTGAACAGGCTGGCCTTGAACTCAGAGATCTACCTGCCCCTGCCTGGCTATTTTATTTTTTAAGATTTTTAAAATTTCTACCTTCTGTTCATGTGTGTTTTGCTTGCATCTATGTACGTGCACCAGTGCGTGCCTGATGCCAGCAGAGGAAAGAAGAGGCTGTCCAGTCCCCTAGAACTGGAGTTAGAGACCGTTGTGAGCTGCCATGTGGGTGCTGGAAATGAACCAGGGTTCTCTGGAAGAGCAGCCAGTTTTCTTAATTGCTGAGCCATCTCTTCAACACCTACAGTGTTTTCCTTTTTTTTTTCCTGTTGGTTTTTTGAGACAGGGTTTCTCTGTGTAGCTTTGGAGCCTGCCTTGGAACTTGCTCTGTAGACCAGGTTGGCCTTGAACTCAGAGATCTACTTGCCTCTGCCTGTAGCACGATTAATAAAAACCCAGAGACAGAAATTGGGGTTCAACCTGAAGGTCAGAAAAGAAAAACAGCCAGCCACTGGCTATTACCTCTACTGCAGTCTGAAATGGCGACCCTGCCTCCAGGAATCTTAGACTGAGACTGTGTGTGAGAGCTGTCTCCTCCTGTCTTATATTCCTCTCTAGGACTGGGATTAAAGGTCTGCACTACTATTGCCTGGTTTCTATGGCAAACTGTGTGGCTACTGGGATTAAACGTGTTTGTCACCACTGCCTTGTCTGTAAGGCTGATCAATGCGGCTGTTTTATTCTCTGAACTTCAGGCAAGCTTTATTTATTAAAATACAAATGAAATATCACTACCTCTGCCTCCCCCACTGAGTGCTGGGATTAAAGGAGTGGGCCACCGCCACCCAGCCTACACTGTTTTCTTAAAGGTAAATCATTTTTTACCGCCCCCATCCCCAAGCTAAGGGCCTTGGGCTTGCTAGACAAGCTCTCTACTACTGAACAAAATCCCCAACCCCTAGACAGTTTTCTTTTTCTTTCTTTTTTCTTTTGGTTTTTCGAGACAGGGTTTCTCGGTATAGCTTTGGAGCCTGTCCTGAAACTAGCTCTGTAGACCAGGCTGTGCTTGGACTCCCAGAGATCCACCTGTGGGTCACCACTGCTCAGCCCTATGCAGTTTTCTTAAAGGCCAAATTAAACTCAAACAAGCTGCGGTTACAGTAGGGTAGCAGATCAGCCTGGTCTACAGAGCTCCACCTGTGGGCCACCACCGCTCAGCCCTATGCAGCTGAGGTTACAGTAGGGGAGCAGATCAGCTACAGCTTTAAATGGTCTTAAGGCACACTATCAACTTTCTTTCTTTCTTTTTTAAAAAAGACATTTCTTATAGTTTATTTAACTTTATTTTATGTGCATCGGTATGAAGGTGTCTGATTCCCTGGAACTGGATCTTCAGACAGTTATGAGCTGCCATGTGGGTGCTGGGAATTGAACCCGGGTAATCTGGAAGAGCAGTCAGTGCTCTTAACCTCTGAGCCATTTCTCCAGCCTTGCAAAGTGCAGTTTTTGAGGACAAGCGGGATTTTCGGAATGAGCTGTTTCCACAAAGACTGAA